TAAGGACCAAAGGACCAAATGCTGAACTGTACACCTGTCACACTATGAAATGTAATATTGGTTTGGGTAAGAGCTTATTAGTACCTTGAATTTGATGAGAACTTTTTAAATATTTCTTAAAAATGTGTGTGGTGATGGAAATGACAATGAATTAACGTGAATGTAGAGAAAGAGTAGAGATATTTATTAGAACAATTCTTAAACTCATCACACTCATTAAACTCAATTCACAAAGTCATTCAACATAACCACACCTGTTTTTAATGTAGTGCTGAGTTTGATGTATAAAACTGATTTGTCTCAAAGATTAACGGTTACAGTGCATACTGTAAATAACCGACACAACTGATGGCAAGGCAAAAATATAAGCAATAAATGATGCATCAAAATTTCAACATTGTGAGATAATCATGAGGCTATATAATTGTGAGAGTTTGATACTGAAATGTTCTCATTGGTCTCTTTTTTTTATCTCCTCTCGTCTATTTCTTTGTTTGATTCTCTATTGTCTCCTTTGTTTGCGTTGCTCCCGCTTTGACAGATCTACAATTGCTTTTACTACTCCTTTTTCTTTTTTCCTCAGGTATCTCTCCCTGTCTCTTTTAAGTCTCTCTTCATATTTTATAGGGCCAGCTTTTATTTTGTCCCTTTGACCTTTCTTTTGTTGTCTTAGGTGGCATCTTAAAAATAGATAAAAATTATATCAATTAATATAAAAGTAATATAATTTAGAAATAAAAATGATATCATAATATAGTTTGCGTTGCTCCCGCTTTGACAGATCTACAATTGCTTTTACTACTCCTTTTTCTTTTTTCCTCAGGTATCTCTCCCTGTCTCTTTTAAGTCTCTCTTCATATTTTATAGGGCCAGCTTTTATTTTGTCCCTTTGACCTTTCTTTTGTTGTCTTAGGTGGCATCTTAAAAATAGATAAAAATTATATCAATTAATATAAAAGTAATATAATTTAGAAATAAAAATGATAGTATTGTATAATATTATAATATAAAAAGTATTACACAAATCTACTCTCGCAATCCATATCAATAGTACTTTGTAACCATAAATGTCATTTCCACCACAGAGGGCAGTGTGGTGGAAATGACTGTTGCGGAAATGACATTTCTGTAGTTTACTCCAGTCTTCAGTGTCACGTGATTCTTCAGAAATCATTCTAATATGCTGATTTGCTGCTCAAGAAACATTTCTTATTATTATCAATGTTGAAAACTGCTTATTATTTTTGAGGAAACTGTAGTGCACATTGTTTCAGAATTATTTGATTAATAGAAAGTTCAAGAGAATAGCATTTATTTAAAATATAAATATTTTGTAACATCACACATCAAAATGTCTTTACTGCCACATTTTGAACAATTTACTGTGCCCCTGATGAATAAAACTACTGAGGAACAAAAAAAATCTTACAGACCCCAAACTTTGAATGGAAATGTAAGTCGCATAAGTCATTAATCATTTATTTATTTCGCTACACATTCTACCGTTTTCACGGTTATTCATTTATACATGTTTAGAACATTGCATGCTCACAAAACAACAATTGACCATTTTTCAAACGGGTTGTTTTGTTCTTATAAAAAGAGAAATTAAAATTATAAAGAAAAGAACAATTATACAGGAGAACCAAGAAAACAGTGATCTCTCACCCAAAGTAACAAGTACATTCAAGTTGCATTAACACTGTGGCTCACAACATAGTGAATAAAAAGAAGAAAAGCAACTTGTCCACTGAAAATCATCTGAATGAGGAAAAATTCATTGCCAACTAAATGAGAAACACAGAAAAGTCCACTCCACCTCTACAGTATGGCTTGTTGTCTTGCTTTCATACCATTTGGAATGTAAACTTGCTCAAATTATAAATTATTCAGCTACAAGAACATTGTGAAAAGAAGAAATAACTAAATGACTGATGACATCCTAAAGCCTAAACCGGGATAAATATGCAAAAACCCAGATGTTTAGACCCACACTCATGTATGCCAGACAAACCAAATGATGCAGCATTTCATTTTGTCTACTGGAGTGTGTGTGTGTGTGTGTGTGTGTGTGTGTGTATTGGTGTAACATTGACATCTAGTGGTCAGGTGGTTCATTTCATGTCAGCGCTACGGCGATTAAGCTTCTCTGGATTGTTGGAGGCCATTTGGGAGAAATCCCTGAAAATGTCATGATAGGTATCATCACCTGTAGGAGGAAAGAAATACAGAGAGAGAAAAAGTATTAGCTGAACATTGTCTTACAATCATATTCTTTATGAGAGTGAATATTATACCCCTGTGTGTGGAAAGTGATTGAAACCTGGAGTCTAAAGAGTTTAACAAGGTCAGCTTGAGAACACCACCACCCAGAGGAAGAGCTTTGATTTGGATTTATAACTGTACATAAGTGCAGTGGTTATGCATACATAAAAGCATAGGGAAGCAGTAAATTACCTGTAGCACGCAGTGCAGAGGACACACACTGCAAGCAGTAGACACCTGGCCACCCGTCTCAGGACATGCACATACACGCACGCACACACGCACGCACAAACAGCAAAAACAGATTTGTATACAGAGACACAGATGGACAAACTGCCTTATACAAGCCCCACAGCAAAACAACAGATGCAAAAAGCATAAGCACCAGAAGAAAGCACACCTGTAAAAATCTGGCACTGCAATAAGAGTATCAGATTCAGAGTAACAGAATCCTACTGGAAAGCCAAATATTACAAGTGATCATAACAAATGATCACCATGAACTGAGCTTTAGACTGCATTTGCAGTTTGATGTTTTGAATATAGTTATGATGGTCAATTGTAAACATGTTGGTTGAATGGTGATGATACCCCATACAATGCCAAATATCCATAACCACACCATAACAGCTGAATCATTTGTATTTTCTGAAGGAATTACTAGTGCTTGCAAGGCAACATCATTAGATAAATGGTATGATTAGATAAATAATTAGACAATTTAAGAGAGAGGATGATAGATAGACAGAATGATAGAACAATAGAATGTTAGAACGATGGATGGATGGATGGATAGATTTGAACACTGTGTTAATGTAAATCAATGGGAGCTTTTCTAAAATAGGTTATGTAAAAAAGTGGGGTCTATATGTTAAACAGTTCAAGTTGAATTGTGTAATTGTGGCAAATTGTAAAGTAAAGTTACAAGAAGAAGAGAAATGTCAACATGCTGATGTCTTGTAAGCACTGTAATGACCAGCTGTGGAGTTTATCCTTTACATTATGTTAAACAAAGTTGTAATGCCTGATCAGGTCTGAATGAACATTAAATAAATCAAATATAACTTGTATTCTGATTTTTCAAACATCTGAAGCCTAAGACAGACAGAGAGAAACCACTATACATTCCACTTGAGGTGTTTCTAATAGCTGAATAAACACCAGCTATACAAACAAGATCAGATTTGTGTAAATGCAAAATGTCACATTACACATGCAAAACCATACTCAGTACAAACAGTACTGATACCACCTAATAAAACATACTACATAACATTTGAAAACATTACCACAGGTACTAAAAGCACTGAACAGGAGTCCAATTCATTCCTTGCTACTGATGCGCAGTGTTATCTATTAACATTCAGTGTTTCTATACATTTTAAAGTGCTTTATCAAAGTGCTCAAATCCACATACTGTCCTTTCTTTTTTTAAATTCTCTGTTAAGCTCGGTTTTCAATTTTAAATGTACAGTCAGTTAATTCTGGCCACCTGGTGCCCGGCCACTGAGATGGTTCTTGATAGTTTGAAAGCTTTTCTTAGTGTGTCCAATTACAGACCCAGTCCCGCCCCCACCACTAGAGCCCCGCCCCTCAGAATGACCTGATGGAGTGCCATCCATCTCCCGCATCTCCTTGTTCATCTTGGCTATCCGGAGTCTAGGAGGTAAAGCACAGTGGATGATAGGTTAATTGAGTTATGTACAAATGTACTGTAAGCTAATTAGTGTCCTTGTCAGCTGATACTCTCTAAGACTACTTACAGCGTGACGATGTCAGCGTTGGCGTTATCTATAGCAATGCCGATTGGGTCCTTGTCATCAATGTCTTTTGCATTGTAGTCTGCTCCTCTCTTAAGAAATAGACACACTAACCTACGACAACACAGAGAAACGTTTGAGGGACATGTTTGACAGTACATGTATAACAGCAACACCAAGTATCGATACTGATTTGATTCAGTTCGTGATTCATTTTTTATTCTGATTTCATATAGGTTTGATTCGATTCTGATTCATTCGGACATACAGCATAATGTCCAATTTGCTTACATATGAAAACAATTCTAAGGGAACCTTTAAAATCGGTACATTACAAAAATATTGATTTGTAAAATTACTAACAAGGCCCGGACTATGCAGTGCATTTTCTATTATTTTCATTTTGTACTTAAATAGATAATAATCAACAGCCAAAAACTGCTCTTTGGATACTATCTGAAGTCAAATTTCAATTGTATTTCTTATGTAAAATTCTCATTGTAACAATATGCAAATTATTATTAAATTATGAACTCCAATTAAAGAGTATAAAAAGGTTGTTAGTGTGGTTGCACCACATGTTTTTTATTCACAAAAAAATCCTTTAAAAGAATCATTCAGTGAATCAGTCTACACTAGTAGTGCTATGTCTCATATACTATCAAATAAAAATTAAGGTATTCATTTAAATTATTTATTTCTTTAAATCTTTTTTTATGATTAATTTATATATATATATATATATAAAACAGGGCCCAAACAATGCAGTACATTTTCTACTATTTCATTTTTGTCCATGAACAGATGCTATATATAAGACTTATTTTGCAAAAAGGCTTTACATTCATCTGCAATATCATATATTCAACAGCAGGGTGCACCACTGCTGAAAAGTGTTGCAGGAAACACTGGCGGAGAGATCCATCTTAGGATTTTAAGAATCAGTATTGCAATTGTTCAAATGAAGAATAATCAGAATTATTCAGAAAAACTACTTTTTTTTTTACCCAAACCTAGTATCTAAGCCTGTGTTACCCTGTATGTCCTAGTATGGTAGCATGATGTAGTGGTCCCCTCCCGTTTGAGTCCACCTGGTTAACATTAGCACCGTTCTGTAGGAGAAACTCACAGGCTGCCAAGGAATTCTGCAGAGAGAAATACACAGTAATTATTCACTGTAACAGTTATGCAATACACACTCAGTCTCAGATCATGAACAATGGACTCTCTCTCTCTCTCTCACACACACACACACACACACTTACAACCATAGCGGCTTGTATTAGTGGAGTTTTGCTGTCTTCAGCCACATTGACCCAGTTGACATCAGCGCCGTGCGCCAGAGCGTCTGCCATGAGAGGGAAATGCTGCATTGCTGCAGATCGATACAGCAAAGCCCCGGGATGAAGACCACTCAGATCCTCCTCTTCATTATTCTCTGTACATAGAGAGTGAGAGTGAGGAGTTTGTGTGGTCAAATGGATGTATGAACATCATATCTGTGTGTGTGTGTGTGTGTAAAACCTTTATGAGAGCTGGAATTGTTCTTCATTATGTCACTTGGGTTCAGGCCTGTAGGGGAAACATCAAGTAACAGCTCACTGATTAGATCAGTAGAAACTGGAAGAGACACTTATTTTCATTGTTTCAATTTACTTGTGTCTTCATGCTTCTTTGTGTGTCAAAACTACAGTTACTACAGTATTGCTTTCTTTCCTGTTTTTAATGCAATTTTCAGATTTACTGTATATTTCAGTTTGGTTATTGTTTACTTTGATAGTGACAGTTTAGGTTTCATTTTATAGCCATATTTCTATTTAGTTTTCATATATATATATATATATTTAAGTGATAACTGTTAAGGAATCAGTTGGGGAATCAATAAAATTATGATCAATAAATGTACATGTTTTTTCCCCCAGTCATTTGTGACACTTTACAATATGTTTTCTATATTTATACTGACTACAGAAATTCCAATGACCTTTTAAAATGGTATTAATTTCCATGATTTTTCCATTAACTTTTTTTAAAGACTGTGCTAATTTCCATCATGGCTTTTCCATGACCTTTTTAAAGATTTTATTCATTTCCACGACTTGCAGATTTTACAAAGTTTAATGTCACTCTAATGCATTATTTCATTTACACTGAACTATTACCCAGCTGCATCTTCAGGATTTCAGTTGCATCGTTTAAAAACAGAACCACAAGAGGATACAGTTTAATGTTCACAAAACCGACCTTGACTCAGCATACTTGTGCACTCTTGACGGCAAGCTACATGAAAGTTTGTTTATAACAGAATGCAAGGTTCTCTCTGGTGTCTGTGGTATAATTAGAGTCCATCTTTGTTATCAGTATCAGTAACTTTACTGGCATCTCATTGCCATCTGCGTGTAGGATGTCTTCCCCCACACAGACACACAGGTCAGGTTATTCCATGTGAGGAGTGTTTGAGGACTACTAAAACAGTTATTTATGTTTAGTTCGTTTTTCAACTACTATTTTTGTGTAGTTGCACTTTAGTTTTTCATTTATTTTACATTGAAGGAATAATTAATAATAAATAACTCACGCTCAGGCAATCCATGATGTAGGATCGGAATAAATTTGGAGAATTTTAGCATTGTATCACTTGCTCACCAGTGGATGCTCTGCAGTGAATGGGTGCCGTCAGAATGAGAGTCCAAACAGCTGATAAAAACATCACAATAATCCACATCACTCCAGTCCATCAGTTAACTTCTTATGAAGCAAAAATCTGCTTGGACTCGTATTCTGACGGCACTCATTCACTGCAGAGGATCCATTGGTATGCAAGTGATATAATGCTAAATTTCTCCAAATCTGCTCTGGTGAAGAAACAAACTCTTCAACATCTTGAATGTTCTGAGGTTGATTCAATTTTCTGCAAATTTAAATTTTTGGTTGAACTATTCATTTATTTATTTTTTGTTATTTCAGTTTTTTATTTTTTTTTACCCAATAGTTTTTGTCTTATATTACAATAACATACTATGTCTTTCTATGCAGAATTGTAGAGGATAAACAAAAGATAAATACAGTTTCTTGGGCGCATGACTGTGCATGTAAATGTGTAAATTCTAGCATGTTTTTTGGCATGTGTGTCTGTGTACCCGTGAGTCGTGGCAGAGTGGCTCGGTTGGGTTTGGGTTTGAGGGCAGGGCGTGTGTTGGGTTTGTCCTGTGTGGCTGCTCTGTTCCGTTGGGCACTGGAGCGCAGCAGGACCGTTCCTCGACCAGTCTCCGGGAGCTTGTGGATGAATTTCTTCTCTACATATTTAGAACGAATCCACGACTCCTTATCTTGTCTGAGAAAACAGTTATATACAGATTATATTTACAGTGGTGGCCAAAATGATTAGAACACTAGTATTTTCACCAGCTAAAAATGGGTTTAAGTCGGTTATTTCTATCTTTTGCTGTAGTGTGTCAGTAGGAAATATCAGTTTGCATTTCCAAACATTCATTTTGCCATTAATTGTAATAATCCGGTGAGATTTTTGAGAGAGTCTGACAACAGCCAGTGCTCCACACAGAGATCTGATCTCATCCTCATCAGTCTGTCTGGAATCACATGAAGAAACAGAACAAACTGAGACAGACTCAATCCAGAAGAACTGTGGCAACGTCTCCAAGATGCTTCAAGAGACCTGTCTTACAGCAAAAGACAGAAATAACTGACTTAAAACCATTTTTTAGCTGGTGAAAATACTAGTGTTCTAATCATTTTGGCCACCACTGTAATTATAAACACATTTCTGTGGTTTTCTGTGATTACTATATATAAACACCTACTGTACCTTGGACTAGAGGGATGGGGCTTCTTGATTGTGATCTCATCAATACGCGCCTCATAGATCTTGTTAATGGCTGTGTTTCCTAACTCACACATGAGCTAGAAAGAGCAATATGGACAAAATGAGAGAATGTGGAAAAAAATGTAACTAGTCAAAATGCATTTTTTTTTAAAAAATGTATCCAATACATGAATATATGAGAATGATGTCTATGCTTACTTTGATGAGCTCTGGCTCCCACGAGTCCAGCGTCAGGGATCGTACCTTCGAGAAGTGGACACCTAAACTCCTGCCAACACAAAAACTGATTCAGATGCATGTTCATGTGATACATTATATAATTCTGTGTGTGTATGTGTGTTACCTGTGTATGCCAGAGCAGGTAATGCACAGCGTGATGCCCAGATTGATAGAGGCCCAGTCGGGTCCAGGCTCCCCGCAGTCACAGCACTGACCGTTCCCTGAGATGGCCTGCACCTCCTCCAGAGCCTCCCGACCAGACGGTTCCGGCTCCCCTGCACTCAAACGCACACTTCCTGCAGACACTGAGCTACAGCGATCTCTCTGTTTAACACACACACACACACACACACACACACACACACACACAAACACACACACACACACACACACACACACACACAC